CTGGCCAGCACCCCTGGGTCCACAGAGGAAGGAACTTGGGGCGCCGGGCGCTCCACTCCCACCACGTGGCTTCCAGCGCATCCCTGTCCCAAGACCCCGCTCCCTCGCCCACGAAGCAGGGATGAGGGCGTGGGAAGGCGAGTGCCCCTGCCGGTGTCCTGCCCTGCCAGCCTCCCTCCTTCCCCAGGGGTGCCCCTGGGCCCCCGGGCAGGGCCGACCTCCCGCAGCGGCCGCTGGTACCACTGCTGCTCAAAGCCCTGGCGCCGGTTGGCGGAGAAGTTGGCACAGAAGCTCCAAAGGCCACCGAGCTCCTTGCGCTGCCGCGACGGGCTCTCCCGGGGGTACAGCATCCCGCCCTGCAGTGCCAGGCCGCAGCCCCAGAGCAGCGGGCCCAGCACGGCCACCGCCGCCGTCCCCGCCAGCGCATGCATCTGGGCCATGCCCCAGAGTTACAGCTCCGTTGCTTGGCATCCAACTCTGTCTGCTGGGAGGAGGGCTGCAGCCTCCCCCCGACCCCTGGCCACCAGGCAGCTAGAGCCTGGGGCGGGGTCATGTGGCCCTTTTACCAATTCAGACAGCACCTGCCCCTCCCCGGGGCATACCCTGCTGGGTTTGGTAAGTCCCTTGCAGTGGTCCCCCTAGACCTCATAGGCAGTACTCAGGGCTGTGGGGCTGATTGGGGCAGTAACAAGTCACTGGGAACTTACAGTAGTTCTTTCATCAGGACAGCTGCTTCTCAGCAAGGTCACAGCTTCTCTGGTCTCTCTGGCTCTCCACCTCTCCACCCGTTGGTCCCCAAGGCTCTGCCCACTGGACAGGGTGGAGACTATAATGAGACTGTAAGTAGGCCTCATCTTTCCCCCACAGAGCAGCTGGTGGTTTTGATCTGCTGACTGTCAGATCAGCAGCTCAACGTGTAACCCACTCCGGCCCCAGGGCTCCCCATCAGTATTAGAGCCTGGCCCCCCTGTGGGCAGTTCTCTGTCACACAGGGTGCCTATGAGTTGGAAGTGACTTGACAACCAACAACCACAACAGCCACAAGAAGCAGATCCCCTCTTTGGCCTACCCACCTCCAACCCTACCACCCACTTGTCCCACACTCTCCTGCTACCCTGGAGGCATTGCCCCTCCTATCCCCTCCACATGGGCTGGGAACCCCAGCCCTCCTGCCTTCCGGGGTCCCTCCTCGCTGTGGGCCTGCTCTCTGATGTGGAGAACCTTCCCTGGGTGCTTGATGCCCACATTCCTTGGGGGCATCCACGCAGGTCTTCTCACCAACCTGATGAAGCAGCCCTGTCACTAGTCCCACTTGACTGGGGAGCTCCTGGGGCCACCGCACTGTGAATGACCTGTCCTGAGACCACAGAGCTGGCACGGGGCGGTGCTGGCACTCGGGTCCGCGTCAGGCACCAGCATTTACTCTCCTCGTCTGTTGTCTGTGTGGGCTCCCAAAGACACCCGGACTCTGCTTGAGCGAGGACGGCTCAGAGGCCTGGGCTTTGCCAGATATTCAGACACAGGGAGCAAAAGGGTCTGCCAAGGTCCGTCGCTCATATGAAGTCAAGTCCTCCTGTGTTATATACTCATCCACTGCCATCGAATCCATTCTGACTCACAGCGACCCTGTAGGACAGAGTGGGACTGCCCTGTAGGGTTTCCAAGGCTTTACGGGGACAGTCACCATGCAACCAGGGACTCCCCAAACCAAAAAAACAAACTCACTGCCATTGAGTGGATGCTGACACACAGAGACCCTACAGGACAGGGTAGGGTGCCCCTGTGAGTTTCTGAGACTGTAACTCAGTATGGGAGTAGAGAGCACTGTCTTTCTCCTAAGCAGAGGCTGGTGGTTTGGAACTGCTGACCTTGCAGTAAGCAGTCCAATGTGTAATCCCTATGCCACCAGGACTCCCAACGGAAAACCAAACTCACAGTGACCCTATAGGGCAGGGAAACACCATCCCTGTGAGTTTCCATGACTGTTTACAGGAGGAGAAAGCCCCCGCCCGCCAGACCTAGCTCATGGTTTCAAACTGCTGACCTCGTGAATCACAGACCAATGCTTAACCACTATGCCACTGGGGCTCCTGTGGAACCAAAAGAACTCTCAAATTGCCCAGCATCCAAAGCACCTCCTGACCTCCTAGGACAGTGGTTCTCAACCTGTGGGTCGTGACCCCTTTGGGGGGTTGAAAGACCCTTTCACAGGGGTCGCCTAAGACCATCGGAAAACACAACTATTTCACATTGTTTTGTGATTAATCACTATGCTTTAATTAAGTTTAATTATGTTCCATTTGTAACAATGAAAATACATCCTATCAGATATTTACATGGCGATTCATAACAGTAGTAAAACTGCAGTTATGAACTAGCAACAAAAATAATGTTATGCTTGGGGGTCACCACAACCATGAGGAACTGTATGGAAGGGTCGCCGGCATGAGGAAGGTTGAGAACCACTGTCCTAGGACAAAAAGAAGAGTGGAGTGTGCCCCCCCTGGTGGTAGGATACGGCAACACAAAATGTCCCCCCATCGACGGCCAGAGCAGTCATGAAGAGTCACGGGACACTCAGGGGACCAGAGATTAAGTTCAGGACTTCCCCTTAAGGTGGTTTTTTTTTTTTTCTCAATAAGCAGGGATTTCCCCCCCCCTTAACCTGAGACAGACTAGAACTAGCCACTGTAACACTATCTTGTTGACTGCTGAATGACCTGCTTCCTTCCCCCGCCCATCTCAGAAAATCCCACTAGTGATTGATTTTAAAATGTACTATTATGTTCTCAAAATCAGACCATTGTCATTAATAATATGGTTCATTTTGATGATGTAACCAGGATGTTGTAATCAATGCTGTACCCTGTAATGCTCATTAATTCTAAAGAATAATAACATAACTTTTGCTTTTTGCTTCTGTCCACACTGCTTAAATCCTAGACAAATGATAAATGAGTTTTGGGCCTTTAAGGATGGACTGAAATGCTCATTTGGGACTGCAACCAAAGAATTGCTTCGATTGCTTCGATTCTGGCAGTCCAGTTATAACCGAATAAAGACTCTTTTAAATTATCAAGACATGGTAGTGGCTGTCATTTATTTGAACCCGCAACACACCTCTCACAAACAGGTCTTCAGATCCATCCTGTGCCTCGAGAGATCTCCCATGGGGCAACTCTGGGGATGTAGTCACCAGTCCGCTGAACAATTTCGCTTTTTAACTTTTTATGGTGATTTGGGTGAAGGTGTGCCTGACACTGGTTTTCCACTCAACATTCACATGCACGTAACTTCATGACCTTGATCACAAGCCCCACGGAGCAAGCACGCTCCACTTCCGCCCTGTGCCTCCGGTTTCCCTGTGGCCTCTTACTGGTCCCTTCCTGCCTTGTGAGCTTTCTTCCAGGGAAAATGCTGCCCTTTGGGTCTCATTAAGGTTGGTTGCTCTTAAGGGACACTGACGCCCCAGGGGTTAGCGGTCCACTGAAGGCCTGTCTCTGGTTTGGCTGGAAGTTGAACTGGAGCGCTGCTGAAGACATAGAGGCTACCCAACCTGGTGTTGCTATAATGGCTGTCGCTTGGTGAGATAAAGCAGCTGAGTTTAACCCAAAGTTCAGTGTCATGGACTCATCTTTCTGGGCTTGAGATCATGAACAAGCAGCACCTGACCTTCCTCAAACCCCATAGAGGCACTTTTTCCATCTAAGAACTGCCCCAAGAAGAGAAGAGGGAGAGGGCTCTCTCACCTCTTCTGTTCATATCTAAGATACACTACAGAAAAGAGAAAGGGAGAATATATTCTTTTGCTTTTCTCTACCTAACCTCTATACTAAATAGTAGATGCAAAAAAAAAAAAAAAAAACAATAGTAGATGCCCCGAAGGTGTTCTCAGAGAGGCATTGGTCTGCTGACGTCAAGGTGGGTGGTTCACACCCTCCAGCTGCTCCAGGGGAGAAAGAGCCAGCTGTCTGTTCCCAGAAAGATGAACAACCTGGGAAACCCTCCAGAGTCGCTATGAGCCAGAACCAGCTTTTTCACCGTGAGTTCTAGCTTGGGTTTTCTACTAAAAAGTACTGCTATCGGTCACAGACACATTTATGAATTAAAAATATCAAAAGTCATTGTTTCTTGCCACATCCGCCCTCCAGGTCTGAACAGCGCTGAAGGTGATGTTTTCATCCCTGAAACCCTTTCCTGCAGGATCTGCAAGCTGTGCTTTGCACATCAAAATGGAAACGTGGGTATTTTCAAAGGACATAAGGAATCCTTTTCCTTTTTGATGTATTTTGAGGTTGTTGTTTGTTTTTTGGGGGGAGGCTGCGGGGGTATCGGGCAAAAAGAAATCGGATGGGACAGAATGCCCATAGGGCACCACTTGCTGTCCCGATTGCGCACAGCCATTTGGCAAAGCAGAGAAAACAAACAGAACTCTCGAATTCAGATGATCCAAGTTCTCAGAATTCTGAGTTCTACCCTCGCCCCCAGTACTTTTGCTGGCGTTCCTGGCGATGAAATCCACCCTGTAAATAAAGCAACGGCTATCACCTTCTGGAAGTGGAGCAGCGAGTCCTATGCATTGAGGCTCTCTCTCACATAAGGGCCATGGCAAAGGACTCCGTGTCACCAGGGACCAGTCCCAGGCTGAGTTCTAACCAAAGCAAGGTGTTTTCCAGGAGAGAGCGGTCCCTGAAGAAAGGCATTATGTTTGGTAAAGTAGAGCAGGGGAGAAACAGAGAGAAGCCCTTGACAAGATGGGATCGACAGTGTCGACTACCACAGTGGTTGCCCCGTGGGAGCCTGGTGAGCGTGGCTCAGGGCCGGGCAGCAGCGTTACCTTCTGTTGGATGCCGGGTTGCTCGAGTCAGACCCGACTGGATGGCCACTGGAAGACATGCCCCAGACGTCATTCGGCCAGTGGAACTGGTCATCTGAACAAGCCATTCAACCCCAAGGCAAAACCAAAATCCAGCCCTAGACACCACAGAAGAACCTTCCCAAGGCCACATATTGGTTTGAGATGGGATGGATCACGCTTATATGGCCTTTCTAGCCACGGTCTTTGTGTTAGTCCTGGTTGACTAGAGAAACAAATTCATAGACACTCATGCAACAAAGCCCACATGGAAGAAGCACGCCAGCCTGTGTGATCAGGAGGTGTCGATGGGATTAGGTATCAAGCATCAAAGACCCAGAACAAAAAATCATATCATTGTGAATGAGGGGGAGTGTGGAGTGGAGACCCAAAGCCCATCTGTGGACAATTGGACATCTCCTTACAGAAGGGTTGTGGGGAGGAGATGAGCCAGTCAGGATGCAGCATAGCAATGATGAAACATACAACTTCCCTCTAGTTTAAGGTGACCAGATGTCCCGCTTTTGGCGGGACAGTCCTGATTTTTAACAATCTTTCCTGCATCCCACGGCATTTTAAAAAAGTCCCAATTTTTGCAAGAATGCACGACAAGCTAGGGTATGCGGTTTTCGGCTGCCATGTGGCTATTTCGCCAGGATATGAGTTTTATCAATGGTGTCCAGCTTTACCAATGTTAAAATCTGGTCACTTTACTCTAGTTCCTAAATGCTTCCTCCCCGACCCACTATCATGACCCCAATTCTACTTTACAAGTCTGTAGACCAGAGCATGTACATGGGTACAGAGAAGAACTGGAAACACAGAGAATCCAAGACAGATAAGCCCCTCAGGACAAATATTGAGAGTAACCATACCAGGAGGGTAAAGGGAAAGTGGGGAAGAAAGGGGAAACTGATCACAATGATCTACATATAACCCCATTCCAGTGGGATTGATATCAGAAAAGTGGGTGAAAGTATAAATCAGTCAGTGTAAGACATGAAAAAATAATTTATAAATTATTAAGGGTTCATGAAGAAGGGAGGGTAGGAGAAGGAGGGGGAAAATGAGAAGCTGATACCAAGGGCTTGAGTAGAAAGAAAATGTTTTCAAAATGATGATGGCAACAAATGTACAAATGTGCTTGACACAATGGATGGATGGATGGATTGTGATAAGAGTTGTACGAGCCCCCAATAAAATGATTTTTAAAAAAGAGAAAGTTTTATATCAAAGAGTAATCATATATTAAGAAAACATCCCAGCCCAGTCCAGATCAATTCCATCAGTCTGATAATAGCCCATATGTCTGATACCAGTGTATAAATTCCTCTTCAGACTCACACAACACATGCAATGATATGAATGCAGCAAGATCACAGGTAAGTGGGTGGAAAGTCTTGTGGATCCAGTGGCGGTGGAAGCATCTCATCTCAGTGCTGGCATGGGTCTCCAAGTGGCTCCTCCACCTCCAGGGTTCTGGCTCCATCAGTGTAGCCCCATCTGGCTTGTCAACAGGAATGTCTCGCAGGGAGAGTGTGTGTGTCCCCCCTCCAGGGAGGAAGACAGGAATTCCCAGAATCCTCAGGAGAAGACTATGCCCACACAGAGGCATGATTGGCTATGACCTCTTTCCTACCCATTCTCCCTTTACCCTCCCTGTTTTGCCACTCACACCACTGGTCCTATAGGGCTCATCCGTCCTGGATTCCCTGTATTTTCAGTTCCTATCTGTACCAGTGTACATCCTCTGGTCTAGCCAGACTTGCAAGATTGAATTCGAGTCATGGTAGTGGGAGCGGGGAGGAAACATTGAGGAACTAGAGGAAAGTTGTATTTCTCATCATTGTTACATCGCACCCTGACTGGCTCATCTCCTCCTCGAGACCCCTCTGCAAGGGGATCTCCAGTGGCCTACTAATGGGCTTTGAATCTCTACTCCGCACTCCCCCCATCATTCACTATGGTAAGATTTTTTGTTCTGATGATGCCTTATACCTGATCCCTTCGACACCTCGTGGTTGCATAGGCTGGTGTGCTTCTTCCATGTGGGCTTTGTTGCTTCTGAGCTTGATGGCCGCTTGATTACCTTCAAGCCTTTAAGACCCCAGACGCTATACTTTTTGATAGCCGGGCACCATCAGCTTTCTTCGCCACATTTGCTTATGCACCCATTTGTCTTCAGTGATCCGTTCGACACAATAAAATGATTTTTTAAAAAGGTCATTATATTAGGGGCTCTTACAGCTCTTAGAACAATCCATACGTCAATTGTATCAAGCATATTTGTACATGTTGCCATTATTCTTTTCTTTTTTGCCATCATTATTTTCTAAACATTTACTTTCTATTTGAGCCCTCAGTACCAGCTACTATTTTCCCCCCCGCCCTCTCTCGCTCTCACCCTCGAGGCCCCTTGACAAATTATCCATTATTATTATCTTCATATCTAACACCGATCACTGCCTTCCTTACTCCATGGTTTCTGTTTTTCATCCCCGTGGAGACGAATCAAACAACATGATTTATAAGGCCACCTCAATCAATGCTCTTGTAAGAATTAAGAACTTTCAGTGGGTGAAGGGAGATGTTGGACAGTGTAAGACATGGCAAGATAATAATAATTTATAAAGTATCAAGGGTTTATGAGGGAGGGGGAGAGGGGAGGAAGGGGGAAACTGAGGAGCTGATACCAAGGGCTCAAGTAGAAAGCAAATGTTTTGAGAATGATGATGGCAACAAATGTACAAATGTGCTGGAAACAATGGATTAATGTGTGGATTGTGATGAGTTGTATGAGCCCCCAATTAAATTATTTAAAAAAAGAATCAAGATCTTTACACATAATCAACATTTAGGCAAGTTTTCCTTATCAGCAGGTGCCAGTGTGAAGTCCCAATAACTATCAGTATCCATCAATAACCCTCATCCAATCAAGATGAACCATCTTAGCATTCAGGGACCAACTTTCCAAAACAAAAGGGAATTTAAGTTTGTGTAACCCACCAGGACAAAGAGCAAGATCCCGATGGACAGAATCTGTAGAACAGCATTGTTAACCCTCATCATGGTCAGTACTGGGGGCCTTTGTTCATCACTCCTCACTCTACAAACCTAGTTCATGCTAATTGATTTGTTCATGACAGTGTTATTTTTACGATATCTATACACCAACCTGGGTTTAATTTTAGCCAAATGGGAGCATACCATACTATATCTGCTTCTGTACCCTCCTCTCTCTCCCTTTGCATTTTCCTATTGGGAGGAAAAAGCCTGTAGCACTTACCTGTTTCTACCAGTAAACCAGCAGGGGCCCAGTGGGTCACTCCATAGCACCCGTCGCAGGAGAACCTTACCCCCAAGGTTTTCAGTGGCTGATTTTTTGGAAGTAGATCATCAGGCTTTTCTTCTGAGCAGCCTCTGGGTAGAAGGGAGCTGCCAATCTTTGGTCCAAAGCTGAGCACAGACATCCTTGGCCTTACTTCAGGTGCTGAACAAACAAACAAACAAAATTACTTTGAGGACTAAGGTGCGCCTGCCTTAAGCCACCGTGGTTTCCTGTCATCTCAGATGTCTGTGAAAGTTGAACACTGACTTGGGAAGACTGGAGCAGCATCGATGGAGTGGAAGGACGGTGCTGGAGAAGACTATCGAAAGGGCCCTGGGCTGCCAAGAGAACGAACAGATCTGTCTTGGAAGACGTACAGCCAGAATGCTCCTAGAGGCAAGGATGCTGCTCACTAGTATTGGACTGGCCCCGTGTCAGGCTGGCCCAGTGGAGGGGAAGGTGAAAATGAGGAATGGCTTCCACAGGATGGATGGACACAGTGGTGCCCCAGGGCACGCACACAGGACAATCGGGTATCTTTTTGTGGTACGTAGGGTCACTATGGGTTGGAAAGGACCAGACTGGACACCTGACAGCTGGGGCTGATTAGAGTGCGCTCATTTCCGCTATCCCGGGCGACTTCACGGTCAGAAGGTTACACTGCTGAACGCGAGGAGGATTGGGCAAGAAGGTGAGCCCCAAAGGCAGGCCAGGGTGCTGGTCCTGGGGGCTGGCGGCCACCAGGCCTAGCAGAGTGTGCGCCTGAGCCCTGCGAGGAAGAGTGAGTGGAGGCGTTGCCGGCTGAGATGTCACAGGGTCCACCAGGGCCGGCGGCCCAGGCTGCCTCGCGTTGCCCAAGGATTGTCAGTGCTCCACGTTCCCCCCACCCCCACCCCCGCCCTCGGGGTGGCAAGGTCAGGCACGGAGCCCGGGTCAAAGGGCAGGAGAGCAGTCCCTGGATCTGAGCGTCCGGGAGCGGATGGGAGGGGCCATCCCTAAAGCCCAAGTCCAGGCTCCCCGGGAGCGCCATCAGGCGAGGTCCTGGCACGCCGGCAGTCGCCCTAATCAAAGATGGCGAGCGAGCCCTTGGGTGGCGCCACGTGACCACGCCCTCCCGCGCCACGTGACCGCGACCCCGGCTCGGGTTCTCCTTCCCCGCGGCGCAGAGCAGGCGCCGGCGCTGCAGCTGCAGACGCGCGGCATGGCCCAGATGCATGCGCTGGCGGGGACGGCGGCGGTGGCCGTGCTGGGCCCGCTGCTCTGGGGCTGCGGCCTGGCGCTGCAGGGCGGGATGCTGTACCCCCGGGAGAGCCCGTCGCGGGAGCGCAAGGAACTCGGTGGCCTTTGGAGCTTCCGCGCCGACTTCTCCGCCAACCGGCGCCAGGGCTTCGAGCAGCAGTGGTACCAGCGGCCGCTGCGGGAGGTCGGCCCTGCCCGGGGGCCCAGGGGC